ACAAACGACTAGTGTTGGCGAGGATGTGGAGAAAAGGGAACCCTTGTACGCTGCTAGTGGGAATGAAGACTGGTGCAGCCTCTGTGGAAAACAATATGGAGTTTCCTCAAAAAATTAAAAATGGAACTCCCATTTGACCCAGTAATCCGACTTCTAGGAATATATCCCAAGAAATCAGAAACACTCATCAGAAAGAATATATGCACCCCTATGTTCATAGCAGCACAATTCACCATAGCTAAGATTTGGAAACAGCCTAAGTGCCCATCAACATATGAGTGGATAAAAAACTATGGTCCATTTACACAGTGGAATACTACATGGCATTAAACAAGAAAGAACTCTTACCATTTGCAACAGCATGGATGGACCTGGAGTATATTATGCTGAGCGAAATAAGCCAGAAAAAGATAAATATCACATGATCTCACTCATATGTGGAATCTAATGAACCAAAGAAACTGATGATCAATAATAGACCCAGAGTCACAGAAGCATGAACAGACTGTTGAACCTCAGAGGGAAGGCAGGGGAGTGTGGGTGGGAAGAGATCAATCAATGAATTTCTATGCATATATGAATAACCTGTGGGCACAAACAATGGGGTGGTGAGTGCCTGCGGGGGGGGGAGGGGTGTTTGGACGGGAGCAGGCTAGAAGAGGTTAATGTGGAAAAAAGGAGGACCCTATGTAATATTTTCAACAATAAAGATTAAAAAAAATAGACCCAGAGACATAGAAACATGGAATAGACTATCAAACCTCAGAGGGAAGGCACAGTACAGTGGGATGGGGTGGAGGGAAGAGATCATCTAATGAACTCATATGTGTATATGCATAATCCATAGACACAGATAATAGGGTCATGAAGGCCTTGAGGGGGCGGGGTGGAAGAGGTCAATGGGGGGAAAAAGGGGATATATGTAATATTTTCAACAATAAATATCTAATAAAAGGTTAATATGCAAATTAACTGTCACTCCATCAAAAAGATGGTGGCGCCCATAGCGGCCAGGGTGGGACACTGGCAGCGTTGCCCTGGCAATGCGAGCCCAGTGTTCCACGCCCTGGCCATGCGGCGGGAGGGAAGGGCCTCTGGGAGTGACGCAAGCCCAGCATCCCGTGCCCTGGTTACGCGGAGGGAGGGAGGGGCCTCTGCGGGCGACATGAGACCATCTATATAGATATACATATATATCTATATAGATAGATAGATAGATAGATATAGATGATATATATTTATAGATAGATATAGATATAGATATAGATATAGATATAGATAGATAGATATCTTTAAAAAAAACCTCAACATCAAAAACAAACAAATGTGCAGAGTACATGAATAGATATTTTTCCAAAGAAGACATACAGATGATAGATACATGAAAAGATGCTCAGCATCACTAATCTTCAGGGAAATACAAATCAACATGACAATTAGATATCATCTCACACCTGTCAGAATGGCTATTATAAAAAAGACATCAAGTAACCAGTGTTGGTGAGAATGAGGAGAAAAGAGAACCCTTGTACACTGTTAATGGGTTTATTCATTGATGCAGCAACTACAGAAAACAGTATGGAGGTTCTTCAAAAAATTACAAATAAAGTCCAAAGTAGGTAGAAGGAAGGAAATAATAAAGTCAACTCTTTGAAGTAAACTACTGTACAACCCAGGAATTCCACTTCTGGGTATTTATCTGAATAAAACATGAATCATTAATTAGAAAAGTTATAGGCACATCTGTCTATGGAAGTGTTATTTACAATATCCAAGATATGGAATTAACCTAAGTGTTCAATGATAAAATATTACTCAGCCATGAGAAAGAATAAAATCTTGCCATTTTCAAAAATATGGATGGACCCAGAGGGTATTATGCTAGTGAAATAAGTCAGGCAGGGAAATACTTAATATCAAATGATTTCACTTATATTTGGAATCTAAAATAGCAACACACACACACACACACGCACACATACACACACACACGCAAAAATAGGAACAGACTCATAGATACAGAGAATGACCTGATGGCTGTCAGAATAGAGGGAGCTTGTAGGATCAGGTAAAAAATGATGAAGGGGATTAGAGATAAAAATTCCCACTTATAAAAGAAATAAGTTATGGGGATATAATATACAATATAGGTAATGTAATCAATAATATTTAAGAACTTTAGGTAGTGACACAAACACAGTAGAATACTTATCATGGTGATCACTTCATCCTATCTAATAACAGACAAACATGGTAATTAACCGTACCTCCAACACGATTCCCATTGCCTAATCAGGGCGATATGCAAATTAACTGCCAACCAAGATGGCGGCTGGTAGCCAGGCAGCTGCAGGGAACAGGAGGCTTGCTTGCTCCAGTGACGGAGGAAACCAAGGTTCCCTGCCTGCCGCTGCTGGCCTCTGAGCTGCACACTAAGAAACAATGTTGTAATTATAGAAGCTAAACAAACCCCAGAAACCTGCTTCAGCCAGCCGGGCCTCAGAGCTGGAGCTGCAAAAGTGTTTCAATTATAGAGGCCAAACAAACCCAGATACCAGGTTTCAGCAGCCGAGGTCTCAGAGCTGGAGCCGAGCCTCGGAGCTAAAGCTGGCTCTCAGTTTTAGTGACAGCCATAGAAGGTAAATAAATCCCAGAATAAAAAAAAAATGAGAGAAAAAGGAGAGGTTGGGAGCTTCAGTCACCAGCCAGCCTGAAAACGGCCCTCACCCCCTCACCCAGACTGGCGAGGCACCCCAGTGGGGACCCCCACCCTGAAGGGGGTGCGGGCAGCCTGAAAACAGCCATCAGCCCTTCATCCAGGCTGGCCAGGCACCCAAGCGGGACCCCCACCCTGATCCGGGACACCCTTCAGGGCAAACCAGCCGGCCCCCACCTGTGCACCAGGCCTCTATCCTATATAGTAAAAGGGTAATATGCAAACTGACCCTAACAGCAGAAGGACTGGGAATGACTGGTCACTATGACACACACTGACCACCAGGGGGCAGACGCTCAATGCAGGAGCTGCCTTCTGGTGGTCAGGGCGCTCTCACATGGGAGGAGCTCTGCTCAGCCACAAGCCAGGCTGATGGCTGCCAGTACAGTGGTGGTGGTGGGAGCCTCTCCTGCCTCCTCAGCAGCGTTAAGGATGTCCGACTGCAGTTTAGGCCTGCTCCCCCTGGCAAGTAGACATCCCCCGAGGGCTGCCGGGCTGCCAGAGGGATGTCTGATTGCCATCTTAGGCCCAATCCCACAGGGAGCGGGCCTAAGCCAGCAGGTGGTCATCCCCCGATGGGTCCCGGACTGTGAGAGGGCACAGGCCAGGCTGAGGGACACTCTCCCCCCCGAGTGCACAAATTTTTGTGCACTGGGCCTCTAGTCCTACCTAATAATAGACACACATGGTAATTAACCGTACTTCCGACATGCTTCCCATTGGTTAATCAGGGCGATATGCAAATTAACTGCCAACCAAGATGGTGGCCAGCAGCCAGGCAGCTGAAGCGAACAGGAGGCTTGCTTGCTCCAGTGATGGAGGAAACCAAGGTTCCCCGCCTGCCACTGCCAGCCTCTGAGCTGCACTCTAAGAAACAATGTTACAATTATAGAAGCTAAACAAACCCCAGAAACCTGCCTTCAGCAGCCGAGGTCTCATAGCTGGAGCTGAGCCTCAGAGCTAAAGCCGGCTCTCAGTTCCAGTGACAGCCATAGAAGGTAAATAAATCTCAGAATAAAAAAGAAAAAGAAAAAAAGGAGAGGTTGGGAGCTTCAGTCACACGCCAGCCTGAAAACGGCCCTCAGCCCCTCACCCAGACTGGCCAGGCACCCCAGTGGGGACCGTCACCCTGAAGGGGGTGTGACCAGCTGCAAACAGCCATCATCCCCTCATCCAGGCTGGCCAGGCACCCAAGCGGAACCCCCACCCTGATCCGGGACACCCTTCAGGGCAAACCAGCCGGCCCCCACCTGTGCACCAGGCCTCTATCCTATATAGTAAAAGGGTAATATGCAAACTGACCCTAACAGCAGAAAGACTGGGAATGACGGGTCACTATGACACACACTGACCACCAGGGGGCAGACGCTCAATGCAGGAGCTGCCTTCTGGTGGTCAGGGCGCTCTCACATGGGAGGAGCTCTGCTCAGCCACAAGCCAGGCTGATGGCTGCCAGTACAACGGTGGTGGTGGGAGCCTCTCCTGCCTCCTCAGCAGCGCTAAGGATGTCCGACTGCAGTTTAGGCCTGCTCCCTGCTGGCAAGTGGACATCCGCCGAGGGCTGCTGGGCTGCCAGAGGGATGTCTGATTGCCATCTTAGGCCCAATCCCCTGGGGAGCAGGCCTAAGCCAGCAGGTGGTCATCCCCTGAGGGGTCCCAGACTGCGAGAGTGCACAGGCCGGCTGGGGGACCCCCACTCCCCCCCGAATGCACAAATTTTTGTGCACCGGGCCTCTAGTAAGGTATATAAATGTCAAATCACTACTTTGTACACCTGAAATGAATATAATATTGTATGTTAACAATACTGTAATAAAAAGGAAAACAAAACTACTCCATAAACTTGCTTGATTTTTTGAGTGAAATACTTTGTATTTCTTTAAAATGTTCATAATTTGCCTGGCCAGCATGGCTCAGTGGTTGAGCATCAACCTATGAACCAGGAGGTCACGGCTCAATTTCTGGTCAGGGCACATGCCCGGGTTGTGGGCTGGATCCCCAGTGGGAAGCATGCAGGAGGCAGCCAATTAATGATTCTCTCATCATTGATGTTTCTATTTCTCTTGCCCTCTCCTTCTCTGAAATCAATAAAAATATTTAAAAAATTAAATGTTCATAATTTAATCTTTTTGTTCTCTATATTATACCTTATATTTACTCTCCATATAGTATTTTAGATAAGCTGCAGTTTTTAGCCTTATTTTATTGTAATATTTTAACTTTGCTGTTTGACTACTTGATTCTATAGCCAGCATTTAATGTTTATTACTATGCTATATTTCAGGGTCTCCATGAAAAAACTGGTGCATTTACAGCTGTTAAAGTGATGAATGCTCGTAAGGTAATATTATATCCTGTCTATATTTTATTCCCTTAATGGACTATGGTCTAAGGATAAGCAGTTAAGAAGAATATTGTTTTTTTAAATCATTATGTGTAATTATAATTATGTGAACCTGAATTTATTATATTTATCATTTAATTTTTTCTACCCATTAGTATATTATCTTTATTATTAATTTATTATATTTGAAGGTCAAATGCATTTATTTTGGCATTATGTAAGAATTAAGAAATCATGTTTTTATATATATTTCTAGTTGATTATCTGTTTCCAGGGATATCAAAGAGGAGATTTTTTCTAATATTGTGTTAATCCTTCTGTGCTCCATCAGATTATTTTCCCTCTCCAAGTATTCTTTTTGAGAATTGAGGCCATTAGATTCTCAATGACAAGTAGAAGTAAAGAACTTGTCTGAGATACACGTTTTTCTTATATTTTCTGACAGGTGAGCAAGACAGTTTAATTTGCACTGTTCCTGTTAACATTCATAAAGTTGAGCCATAGTTTATAACATATTGTCAGAGAATTTTCTAAGCACTGATTTCTGTCCTCTTTCTTTAGCATGAGTGCCTTACTTTCTCAAGATAATATTAGCATGAACATAGCAAAGGTCAAAGAACTTTCACGTTAATATACAAGGAAAATTCTCAAATAGTATGTTTGAAAACTATACATAGTCACTGAACTGTTGTCTATGCCATAAACTGTTCTTTTACAATTTGTGCAGGGAGTGAATTGCTGAATCTATTTAAAGATTTGCATGCTTTTTTTGTTTTGCCAGTAAGTGTCAAATGTTGCAAACCAATGTGAATTTCAAGGGATTTTAATGTTTTGTGGATTTATTTTGACCTACAAACCTGACATTTCAATAATCAATCTAGTACTATTTGAGTGAGACTCCCTAAAGTACTTATTTCCTTATTTTAACTTGAGAGACCTTGACCCACATTTAATTTAATTGTTAGATACTCTAACTTTGAAATATTTAAAAATCATATTCTGCCCATACATAGTGTCAATTACATTGTTTTAAAGGGGAAATATCACTTTGTTAACATCAAATTATAATTTTTCAATAGGCAGTTAAATCTGTTATTATGAATTTGGTACTAAGTTTCTGCATATATAAGAGTACAATGTTTTAGTTAAAACTATTAGCAAAAAATTAGAGAGGAATAATATTATGTTACTTTTCCATTTAGTGCTAAAAGAGCACAAAGTACTAAAGAGTAAATCATGTTCAGAGTGTACCAGTGGTTCTAATAGCATTTTCTTCTTGGTTTTGCAGACTCCTTTACCTGAAATAGGAAGGCGAGTGAGAGTGAATAAGTATCAAAAGTCTGTCGGGTGGAGATACAGTGTGAGTACGGAAAGTCCTCATTAGCCCTCAAGTAGTCTTCCCTTATTTTTCAAATTTAAACTAATCCCTTTGTGTTGTATTATCTTTAGGAGGCCACCACTAAAATATTCTTCTGTGCAAGTGACAACATATTTATACCTTTTCACATATTCACAGAGTCAATCATCATATTTGAACACTAGCATCAGTCAGAAAGCAGGGGCTAGAATAAATGGTTACTTCAACAAGTAAGTGTTAACTGCAGATGAGTAAACCCATCTTATGCCCTGACCCCCAGCCCTGGATCAGAGAACCGGCACCTTTGCCCGCCCCCAGCCGGTGATCGTGAAGGGAGAGCCCAGCCGCAGGCATGGCGGCACCCTGGGCACTGGGTGCCCTGCGGCCCCCTGATCTGCGATTGCGAAGGGAGAGCCCTGGGCACCAGGTGCCTCCGTACCTGAGGCCGCGGCACCCACCCCAGCACCTGACATGCAAAGGTCGGGGATGAAATGACTTTTCCCAACCACATCTGCAAATATCCTGGGGAAGGCATCACTGAAGAGTTTACAACAACTCTCTTACTTGGCAAGGAAGAAAAAAGTTGGCAACAGAAACAATCCCTTACATCAAAGTTAAGGTCCCTCTGAGTAAAAAAGAATATTTCCAACGTAAAGGAGGGAGCAGGCAAAAACAATAGGTTGTCATGACTTCCACTGAAGTTTGAGCATATGACAGAGTCAAAACGAACATTCAAATGAAAACAGACAGTGGCCATTCAAATGACCCGAATCAACTGTCACTGTTTGTTCCAATAGCAGCAATGCTTATGTGATAATGTAGTTTAACAAACATACGAAACAAGTCACATGATAAGAGAGGTTCGGCTTCTAAAGTAAATTGAATATGTTCTTTAAAAATTCTCATGTCCTCCCCTCTGACTATAATTCTTAATTTTCCAATCAGAAAATTACCCCAGGTGATCCAGTAACATGTAGAACTCCAGTAACCTAACTTATTTAAAAAAACAAACATCACAACCATTTTTAAAATATTTAAATTGATATTTTAGGGTTAAAGTTATAGAAGATATTTAGATCCAAATATATTTTCTGAATAGAAAATATTTCAGTTTTTGATTAAAAAAAATAAACATAAAAAATATATAAGTGACAAATTTTCCCAAGGAACTCTGAATTAGTACCTTTCCTTCTAACTTTCTTCAAATTAAGAGAATCTATGGAGTTCCCTATACTGCACAAGTTTTAATGAAAGAAAATAAGACTTTCTAAGAGCATCAAATACATGTTTTCTTATTTACAAACATATATACTCTCCTCTCTCTCTCTCTCTCTCTCTCTCTCTCTCTCTCTCTCTCTCTCTCAAATATATTCTTACTGATTCAGAGAGGAAGGGAGAGGGAGAGAGATAGGAACATCAATGATGAGAGAGAATCATTGATTGGCTGCCTCCTACACACCCCGTACTGGGGATCAAGCCCACAACCCGGGCATGTGGCCTGACCTGGAATCAAAATGTGACTTCCTGGTTCATAGGCCAATGCTAAACCACTGAGTCACACCGGCCGGGCTCAATTCTTATTTATAAATTCATTCCAAGGACATATACAGCTTGAAAAGCTTTGGAAGTAGTTTCAAAAAAACTAGCTTTTAAGTAATAAGAAAACAGTTATAGAAGAAAGTTTAAATTAAAAGAAAAAAATTGTTTTAATTTATTCAAGAGTGGGAACATCCTCCATGAAAATGTGTACCTTGACTGTGGATGGCTGGGTGGCCTTATCACACCTTAGGAATTCAAATGCTTTTTACAATGAACAGAAAGAGAGTTTCATCTCATTTCTCTCCCAGGGTAGATGTCTGTCAATAGAAGGTGGACATCAATAAAAGGAGGGGCTTGCACAAGCAATCCAGAAAGTCAGCAATCTATGAATAACCCAGAACCGAGTATCTCCTCTGCCACACACCCTTCCTCCCAGCCAGTGAGCAAGATAATTACTCTCAAGTCTAGCTAAGTGCCCCCCAGTCACAGTGGCCCAATGCTGACATACAAAGCATACAAATAATTCTCACTCTGGCATAAAAGTGACAACTTTCTTGGAAGAAAACCTGATACTGTAAATTTCTCAAAGTCTTCCTGAAACATTTTTTAAAGTAATTTTTACTTCTTTAGAAAAAATGCATACATGGCAAGCCATCTGTAATAAAAGGCCCATTCTATAAAATTTTACCTGGTCCTACTCATATCTGCAATCATAATAATTACAGACAAATATATCTATACTAATAAAAGGGTAATATGCTAATTAGACTGGGAGACCTTCCAGGAGACCTTCCAGATGTTCTTCTGGACAAAGTCATGGTGGCGGGGCCGACGTAGAGGCGGTTAGAGGCCAAGAGGGGAGGGCAGTTGTGGGTGATCAGACTGGTGGGGGGTGGAGCCGTTGGGGGCAAGCAGCCATCAGTGGGGGTCAGTTGGAGGTGATCAGGACAGCGGGGGGGGGCAGTTTGGAGTGAGCAGGCCAGCAGGGGGACAGTTGGGGATGAGCAGGCCAGTTGGGAGGGAAGGTAGGGGAGAGCAGGCCAGTAGGGGGGGCAGTTTGGGGTGATAAGGCTGGCGGGGGGGGGCATTTGGGGGCAAGCAGTCCAGCAGCGGGGGGGCAGTTGGGGGTGAGCATGCCGGCAGGCAGAGTGGTTAGAGGCAATCAGGCAGGCAGGTGAGCGGTTAGGAGCCAGCAGTCCCGGATTGCGAGAGGGATGTCCGACTGCTGGTTTAGGCCCAATCCCTGTAAACTGGCAGTAGGACATCCTTTGAGGGGTCCCAAATTGGAGAGGGTGCAGGCCAGGCTGAGGAACACATCCTTCCCTGTGCACAAATTTCGTGCACCAGGCCAGTAGTAAAGTATATAACACCCCAGCTGAGTAGCAACAAAGGAGATGAGGGGACAAAGAGCAAATTTCAGCTAAAATTGGCCTTAGCAAGGTCCTTTGTCACACCTTCTACATGGTATTTTGGACAGGCTTTTCCCCCATTATGATCCTAAGAAACTTTGCAATTATATATGAGCCAAATAAGGAATACCTTTTTTTTTATTGTAAGAACAATAGCAGACAGAAAAACAAGCTGCCAAGCTTAAAAGTCTTCAGATATCTGGTACAGTACTTAAATACAAGAAAGACTGTGAAGATGAAACTTAAAGCTTTTTAACTGCCTTCAAAAACAGTCTCTATGTCTTGAATTTGCTGGCTCCAGAATAAAATCAGGCAAAGAAAAATTTTTCCAATAGACATTGGTGATTTAGATGTTGGTGATCTATCAAAGTATTCTGTGGGCCAAAATCAGAATCCTTGTTCTTATCAATATATCTTTTTTTCTTACGTTTCTCCCCTGTAGTCAAGTCTCTGGTATTCAAATATTTTCAACCTTTTGTGTCTTAATAAATATGCTCTCAGGGACATTAAAATAACCCTTTCCATTAGCACAGTCACATTTAGAAAATGTTTCTAGTTATATTAAAATGGTATTGATAAACAGCTTCATGATTCTTCTAGAAAGTAGTGGGCTCCTATTTTATTTTTAACTAGAGGCCCATTGCACGAATTCATGCATGGGTGGGGTCCCTCTGGGCGGCCTGCAGGGATCAGGCTGAAACCTGCAGTCCAACACCGCCTGCAGCTTCTACCTGGTGCTTCTGCTGATCCTGGCCCTTTTTTGCCTGCCACGGGCTCGCACCCAATCAGTCCCGATCAGGAGAGGCTCGTACTGCCACTGCAGCGCTTGCCAGCCATGAACCTTGAGTCTGGCACCCTCCCAAGGGGAGTGGCCTGTGGGATCGGGCTGAAACCACCTGTCTGACATCCCCGAAGGGGTCCTGGATTGCGAGAGGGTGTAGGCCAGGCTGAGAGACCCCACCGGTGCACGATCGGGCCGGGGAGGGACTGTATGAGGGCTCCAGAGCATGTGTGGCCCATCTTGCTCAGTCCCAATCGGCCAGACCCCAGCAGCAAGCTAACCTACCAGTAGGAGCATCTGCCCCCTGGTGGTCAGTGCATGTCATAGCAAGCGGTTGGGCAGCCATATCATTAGCATATTACGCTTTGATTGGTTGCTCGGTTGTTCTGCTGTTTGCTCTATTTGCATATTGCCCTTTTATTATATAGGATGTATCTCAGGAGACAAAGCATATCCCAATTAAACAAGTAGTAGTGAATAATAACATGCTTTGGTAGATGAAGAAGCTGTAAAATGTAAGGTATGAAAAATCTAATTGTTTGACCAATTCTTGATTTTTCAAACATTTGTGTTAATAAATGTTTTAAATATCTTCCCCAAACCCTCTCTGGTATTCTTTCTATTGGGGAAAATATTTTTTATTCTAGAATTGGGTGAAATTACAAAGGAAGTTTTGGCATTCTTGCACTTCCTCTTCTTGAAAAAAAATCTGTATTTTCAGGCCACTCTGGGATAAGTTGGCCCTAAACCAGGAAATGCTATGTCATCATATTACTGGGATATGTGGACTTTTAAATTACCCACTTGGCCTCATGGTTATAAGGTACTTATGTGTTTCTCACAAGCTCAACTCTCTGTTGAGAATGGCAAACACACTAATGCTTTCTAAACATATCTGATCATGGTTTATTGGTTTTGGGGAATATATATTTATGTGGGAAACCCACTCTTAAAAAGTTTTAGCCCTAACCGGTTTAGCTCAGTGGATAGAGCGTCAGCCTGCGGACTCAAGGGTCCCAGGTTCGGTTCCGGTCAAGGGCATATACCTTGGTTGCGGGCACATACCCAGTAGGGAGTGTGCAGGAGGCAGTAGATCGATGTTTCTCTGTCATCAATGTTTCTAACTCTCTATCACACTCCCTTCCTCTCTGTAAAAAAATCAATAAAATATATTTAAAAAAAAGTTTTAGTTGGGAACTTTGAATTCTGCCATTATATATTTCAGTAAGAAAAATAACTAATAGCTGATCAGCCAGTTTGCATCTCTAAGTCAT